TATAAATATTGCAGTATTAAATATAATGACTTAGGAAAAGTTTAAATAGACCCCTTCCTGTGTTATACACGTTGGCAGGCAAATGTATTTTAAAAGCTCCAAAGAGAGCTTCGTATTATTATGGTGTATTAAACACAATGGGGAATGTATTGTTTTATATAATCGTAATTTGCCAGCCAGCAAAATATAAACAAGGCAAGGACAGCCAAGGTTTTATACTCTATACTATAGTAACCATACGGTAAAATCATACGACATATGCAGTAATAGCGGTATGGCTTGCCGTATTCTGTTTAGATACCGGTATACGTTATACATTTTACACTTTGTCTTTTGAATTTTATATTTTAGCCGACAGGTTTACAACTTTAATATAGCGATAGTGATGGGCGATACCGAGTACTCGGTATTCGATACCAGCGATACCACAAACAGCGGTATCGGTATCGATTACTGACGTGGTATCGTTCGATACTTGCACTCTTTTTTAAACGACTTGTTTAATTTCACTTCTTGGTTGAATAAGACTTAATGAACCACTAAAATAACTCTTAATATTCCAAATGTGGTGCGCCAAGTCATGTATAGAAAATATTTAATACGTTTTGGGCTTTTGGTTTACTTATAGCTTTATTTATTTTACATACAGTAATGTAAAATGTTTTTCCGCTGACCGGCAGGTATCGAAAGTAGCCGATACTAGCAATTTAAGTACTCACTTCCGGTATCGAAAATTGAAATTTTGTGTTTATTTTGGTATCGAAATAGGTATCGGTATCGGCCGATACCGATCTTAAAAGTATCGGTATCGGTATCGAATTAAAAATCCTGGTATCGCCCATCACTATATAGCGATGCCGTTTGTTTTTACTGTATTTATTCTTAAATATTTGAATAAATTAGCGTAACATATCAATCAAACTGTCGTCAACGTAAATTCAGCCAATCACAATTCTCGGCGGCTGGCTGCCGAGAGTCATCAATTTGACTAGGGCTTTCGGGCAGGCTCTACTTATAAAAGAGCCGGCCACGCTGGCTATATTTAATTGAAAGATAATTATTAATTTTTTACAAGATTTTAGATTCGTGTGTGACTATCCCATGGTTCTTCCATGTGGCCCCTTCCTTCATTGTAAAGACCGATGCAATTTAACCTACGGTTACAATGTCGGTTTATCTTAATAAAATTTGAATTTGAATATATTTGGGCCTCCGGGCCAAATTTCCTAGGAAATATGGGTGGGGCGGAATATCAAGGGGGGATTTGCACCAACAGAAAGCATCTATATGCATGTAGACAACCTGAATTTGCACCCCTGCATGCTGTTCTACTACACATAAATCAAACTTTTTTGGCATTACTCAAATTTCCAAATAATCGACATTTACCTTGAAAGACAACTTAAAGCATAAAAAGGTTCAGCTAATGAAAAGGTTCAGCTAATGAAAATACTATTTAAATCTCAAGCTGTAGTACATCTGAAATTAAAGATTAGCTAATCAAGCAATTTCCCACTTTATTATTATTATAAATATGTATATGTATACTATAAACGACGAAATAAAGAGAACGTTTTTACTTTTAAATATTCTTGCTATGCTATATAGTCAATTTATCCAGATCGAGGAACTTAAGCTTAAAAATATGGTCAGTGAGACAGTTGGTCTGTGAATGAAAACTTATAAAATTTAAACCTCGACAAAGGTTCTCAATCTCACACAACTTAAAATGGCATTTATAAACTTATCGAATCTGAATAACCTAGAGATTCAGTAGAAACAATGGGAGTTTGAGATTTGGATACTGAACAAGCTCTCGTGTGTTTTTCAAAAACCTCAAAAAGCACTCACCCTTTTACCTGTGTTATTTTGATTTCTTTGAAAAACTCACTCATGCATGTTTTATCCAAATTGCAGTCGAAATCATCCTATTACTTATATACGTATACGTAGCGTCGAACAGATAAATGTCACTATCGACTAATGGCCTTCCGACATTGTGCGTGCAATACATGTATAACAGTAGGTCATTGGGCATTTTCCCATATATTGAATTTAAATGCGTTGCAACCTGGAATCTACATTTTATTGTACTTCAATTCTTCGTCAAAGATGCCAGTTAAATAATTATAATGAAAATATATTCCGACAGCCTGAGAAATTGAACGGCGAATGACTTGAAATAATTGATTCATTTTTATTCGTTCAGATCTTGTGAATGAAGATATTGGATTTCAATATGGGAAATCAGCGACCCTTCCTGACGAAAGTTTAACTACATCGTCAGACCAGTTTGATCAAGCTGGTTATCCGCACAATGGCAGATTGTACAAACCATGGAAATTCTGGAGTCCTAGCTATTACGATGAACCTTTCTATCTTGAACTTATTCTGGTTCAGAATTATTACATATTCGCCGCTTCAGTTCATGGCAGACTGTCAACTTCTAATAATAACTTTACAATGGAGTTTAGCATTTCTTACTCCGAAAATTATGCAACTTGGAAGCAATATAACCCAAATTTCAGAGTAAGTTATTATATTTAAGACATTTCTACCGTAGATTTCCAGAGGTAACCGCCTAGGGGCAAAAAGAACGGTTCGTTTGTGTCATGGGTACTATGGGTGGACCTCCTACTGTTCTGAAAAGTATGGCGGATTTTTGAGTTGAAAGAGTTTTTAAACAATCAATAGTATTTGAAAAAAATCAATTAAAAACCCAAGCAGGCAGGTTCAGCCAGGGCCGTCCTCAGGAAGTTCTTCAGGGGGGGGGGGACATTTCAACCGACTGACGAACGAGCTTGTACCGACCACATGCTAGCCATGGAAGCTTGTTCAACTAAATTCTGGGACCGCGGAGCCAGGGGCATGCTCCCCCGGGAAATTGTGAAATCTGAGAACTGCCAGAGCCCCAGAAATGCAATCAAATTTACTAGTTGCTGTTAAAAAGTTTCTTAATAGACGACTCTTATTAATCTAATATCACCCGTGATTTGTTTAATCCAACCAGAAATAGGTTGAATACTTGGATATATAAGTTATAAATATATTTATAAATATATTGTTAACTGATCTGAAAGATTTCAGCGTTCTTAGTTTATAAAAATCACATATCGGACTGGGATTTGGCCACGTACTGGGAATGGGAAATGAAGTCCTCAAAAATGGGAATGGGATTGAGGTAATGCTTCCCAATTTTTTGCGATTCCCAATTTTTCCACGTTTTAAGTATTTTAAAATACAATTTTGATCCGTTTTTTAAAATACAATTTTGATCATGATTTTTGTTGTTAACTATATTATTCGCAGCACTACCTGCGAACAGGTATACTCTGGCGCCCGGAATTCTGGCTTTCCTGATTATGCGTGTTCCCAAGTCAGATGCACAGCGGAATATATACCTGGTTTCCGGTATATACTTCATATAACCCTTAGTATATACCTCAAAGGCAAAGCACAACCGCTTCTGCCACGCGGTGCGCACACACGGTGGCTTAAAAGGTCTTAAAACTGTTTATTCTACCGATAAATAACGTTTTTTTATTGACTGGGATTTCAATAACTCGGACTGGGATTTCTAATAAAAATCCAACTGAGACTGGGATTTTGCCAAAATTTCAGGTGGAAGCGTTGGAACCTTTAGGACCCTCAGCTATCAAACATGCTACATATACTTCATTTAAGATGTTTGTATCGCTATGTGGTTTAACTGTCAATCTGGGCTTGTTTTACTATTAAGGGATTATAATGATTATCCTGCTGAGTAAATTTCGAGTAACCAAAAATTCTGTTTCTTATATAACAGGTGAAAATCATATCGGCAGTTGTTTTGTTCGTCAAAAAGATTTTTGTCTGACGACTAAAATAGCAGCCAGTCCTGCCGACTGAAGCTTCGTATAAAATTTCTGTGTGTGTGTCACCCCCCAACCCCCCCCCCCGTAGCTCCGGGCCTGGGGCCAGCCAAACTGTTCATGTAGTTTTGCTTTATGAAAGGATCACGCTGACAATAGATTGCAGGAAATTGTAAAACCTAAATACTTTAAATACTGATGTACCCCAATTATTTGTACTATTTACAACATGAGCGGCCGTGTTTTATCGGATATACAAACTCGAGCCGAAGGCGAGAGTTTGTATAACCGATACAACACGGACGCGAATGACTCATCTTATGAGTTCATCTTATGACGCGAATGACTCATCTTATGAGTTCATGAGTTCATCTTATGACACGAAGACTCATCTTATGAGTTCATTGGCGAAGTAATTTTAAAAATAAATGTTGTCTAAGCCGAGAAAATCAAAGTTAAAGTTTATGTAAATCAACATGAATCTGTATCACATATACAGATACGACACGCTTATGATTTTTCTTTGTGTTTTCTTCATGAATTATTAATGAGTTTTTCAAATGAATTATAAAAACCCCGATTTTTTATGAAACATGTAAATATAGAGGAGAGCAACGTTGTTTTCATAATTGAATTACATCATTTGAAATCATTTTATTTCAAACTCAAAGTTTAATTTACCGATAAAAGTCAGTTTAATTTCATGAACATTTTAAAAGTTAACGAAAACTACGTCAAATACTTCATGTTTGGGAAGTGTAGTTGCTTTGCTATAGTAATGCACTCGGTTTCTGCATGCATTTATTTCTAGTAGTATGACTTCAATGGTTTAAGAATTAGATTGAGTGTCACTATTAAACTGATTAGATTGAGTGTCACAATTAAAATAGCACAGGACAAGATTGCATCTGCTTTAAAGTGCTTTTACAACCATTTATGTCTCACTTATTGTACAGTTCAAGTTTAATAACATCATAGAAAAGCATACTCTTGTCAAATCAATTGAAGCTCGAATTGTGAGGATAAAATTCCCGGGAAACTACGACGAAATGCCATATCTAAAAGTGGAGTTGCATGGAGTTATCACAGAAAAATCATCAGGTACTAACTATTTTTTTTAATATTTTTATTTTGTAATAATTTTTTTATTCCCATCTGCCGTATGTAAAATATAAATTCGAAAACCAGTGAATCTAGATCATTCATTTAATTGAAATACATGAAACAGCCAAAAACTTTTTAAAATTAAGAGATATAGAAAACAAGTAGCGTGCGTTGATGGTGTGATAATGCGAAGCGTGTAAAATAAAACACGAGGTGTAGCCGAGTATTTGGAAACTATACTTTATGATAAACTGGGGGGAAATGTTCGAAAATATGCATCTTTTAAGCCGGATTTGGCACGAAAGCCATAGAGTCCGCGAGGTTTTCGTCGAGTTGTTTTGTTTTCATTTTTGAGCGTTAAAATCTGAAAATGGACTACAAAAATCTTACTGCTCGCTATGTATATACTGTATATATTTTTGCCAACTTTAAATTTTTTTTTTCAATGTAATACAAGATTTTAAAATTCTCAAATTTTTTAGCTATAATTAGCCCAAATCAAAAGTACCAACAAATATAATCCCCATGCTTTATCAATTAATGCCTATAGGCTACTGTATATACAGTAGTCTAAGAAAATACACCAGCCCTGCGCATCAGGCCTGATCGCAGGTTAGCTTTGTAAGAGAAAATGCCATGCAATTTCACACGTGACAAAATGACTTGTGTGAGATATACTATAATTACATAATTAGAGGGCATGATGGGCATCCCAAAATGGCAAAATCACTCCCTGACCAAATATTTTCGCACGATTTGCTAATCAAAACATATTTATTTACTATAGAAGCTGAGTAAAATATTTATCAACTAACATAAGTCATCGTTTTTTCGAGTAGCACTTAATGTTTTCTTCCTGTTCAGCATACTGTAGAAAACCACATCCACTGGGACTCAGCAGCCAAGCAGAGCACGGTATTCCAGATCAAAGCATTACAGCTTCATCAATAAGCTCCCAAACAAGTTATGCTAGATTACGGAACTCAAGGTTTTGGTGCGGTCCGAGATCAAGACCTAACCAGTGGATAAGCGTTGACCTCGGACACTAGTCAGCATTTCTGGAGTAGCATCACAAGGAAGTAGTCGAGGAAAAGTCACTGAATATAAAATACGCTATAGTTATGATGGTTGGATATGGTATGGTTATCCCAGTAACACTAGACTTCAGGTAAGGAATTGGACGTTTATCATTTTTCATACTTCTTTTTTTGTGCAAATTTCATATAGTGACGATTGATTATAGTCCCATTTTAAAAATCATTATTGTTTGTAGATACTCCGAAAAATGAAAGCATTTTGAAAAATACATTTTCAAAAAAAAAAAAATAAATAAATAAAAAAAAATAAATAAAAAAAATTTTCAAAATGCTTTCAATTTTCGAAGTATCTATTGTTTTGTATTTTATCAAAATACTCAGTGGTTTCCGTAATATATTAAGTTGGTCTTCTACCTTGAAAACGTTTTTTCGAATCAGTAAAGCCTTTGTCATCATATTTGAGTCAAGTTGTGATAGATTATGCTTAGCTGACACAGGATCAGTAACTTTTACATTCGTCGTTGTCATTTGCTCCAAAAAGGATACGAACCAGATTAAATTACTGAGGACCTCAGAAACAGCTTTAATGGACACTTAATACATATGTCCTGAACCTAAAATAATTTGTTATATATGCAATGCAGAATCTAATTCATATATATAAGTATGTTCTGTAGTTAAGCTAGGCACTCTGATGAAGGCTGTGGCATGCAGCCGAAAATTTAGTTTTTGTATTTAATATATTTTTTTTAAAATAAACTTCTTCAAACGTAGCCGTTCTGTTTGTATATATATATATATAGAAAGACACAAAAACTTAGCAAGCTTTGTTTGGCATATTTATTACTATACAGTTTCGTACCACGTAAATAACGTGGCACTCTTCAGATAAAATAGCCTATGTTTGACCTATAGCTTCTTAACGAACTT